GATGTTTGAGGAGGGCTCTGCTTGCCAAAACCTGCACCCTTAACCCAACACCCCAATCCCTGCAATCCCTAAAACTGCCCCCAAGACGTGGAACCCCAAACCTACCCTGAACCCTAAACCCCAAACCCCAAACCCTAAACCCTAAACCCCAGGCCCTAACCCTCCAATGCCTTGGAGGTACACATAACCCAAGGCCCGCACCCTCGAAGCCCTACACAACCCTATAAACCCTCCAAGCCCTATACGCGCAGCCCCAGCCACCCTAAAGCCAAACCCAGAAACGGGGAGGGGGGAAACCTAAAACCCTGAACCTGAACTCCCAACCTAACCCTGAACTCTAGACCCTAAAGCCTAAGCCTAAACCCACCAAGAACACAAGGGGGGGGGAGTTGAAGCCCCAAACCATCAAGGCTAAACGACCAAACCCACCATGAACCAGGAAACCCTAACCCCACGAAAGGGGGGAGGGGCGGGGATACCATGAGAGGGGGGTCAGGGAGTAGGGTTTATGTGTTAGGGTTTAGGGTTTAGGGTTTAGGGTTTAGGGTTTAGGGTTTAGGGTGTAGGAGGTGCAGAAACACCGGGCCTGGGTCGACTTTTGCTGTAACTCCCTTATCGCCTTCTCGTCGAGCTGGCGAGCCTGCATTGGACAAAGCGCTCTTGGTTCGAGGCGGCTTTTTGGGGTTAGGCTGTAGGGCTTACGGGGCTTAGGGGATCAGGGCAGTTCAGGGTTTCCAGGGCTTTATGGCTTATTGCAAGGCTTCGGCATTGAGAGCTTGAGAGATTTGTTGGAGCGTTCTCGCTGCAGTTCTGTGGGCTGATCTGCTTGTTCGACCGACCGACCGCATGATTGAACCCTGGGTTTTAGCGATCTACTGAGTCTGCAGGGTTCAGGGTTTAGGGTTTAGGGCTAGGGTTTAGGGCTGTGTTGGTCCTTCTCTTCTGCGCATGGCGGGTGCGCTGTGAAGCTGTCTCTTGGCTCGAGGATGGGACAGCCGCACATCCGAGAAAAGCAGCCCTCGACCCTAAACAGGGTTTCGGGTTTAGGGTTTAGAAATACCTCGACAGCCCCCAAACACAAAGACTTTTCAATCCTAAACCATAAACGTCACTGCAAGGCCCAAAACCCTTCAAACCCCAAAAGGCCCAAACAACCACAAACAGCCAACCGGTTCGTAGTAAGGAATAAGGGAATCGAAGTGGCTTGCATCCCTCTTTCAAAACCCGTTAAGGGATTCTATAATCATAAGGTGCCTGGCTCCCTCATTCCCTACTAAGAGCCGGTATGATAAAGACCACTAGAAAAGCCGTCTCGACCTCACCTGCTCCATTAAGGCTATAGCGCTCCTTGGCCGCTTCAGCAGGGTTAAAGTTTAGGTCTTAGGGCCTGTGATTTCGGGGTTAGGTCTTGGGTTTAGGGTTTGCTGAGGATTAGGGGTTTAGGGCTTGGGGTTTGGACGTGGGATTTCGGGTTTGGGGCTTTTGGAGTCTCATGGATTGTTGAAGGAAATTCAGGTGTGCAAGAGATAGCGCCGGATAGCGCTGGGGGAAGATATTTTTTGGGTCTAAGGTCTCGGGGTTTGAGGGTTGAAGGGTCGTTGGCTTGGGTGGGCTTTGGGGTTGGATTTCGGGGTTGGGTTTTTGGGGTGGCTTTAGGGTTTAGGGCTGCCGGAACAGCGACAGTCTGAAAGCAACAAGAACCCGAAGGGTTGTACTTCGGGTTTGAGCTTTAGGGGTGTGGCCAGCAGCCACCAAAGCTGTCGTTCTGCTTGTCAATGCCTCAACACTAACCTCGGACACCCAAACCCCAAACTCAACCTCTGAACCCACAACCATCCTAAATTCTACCCTAAACCCGAAACCCTAAACCCGAAACCCTAAACCCGAAACCCGAAACCCTAAACCCTAAAGCTCAAATTGTAGACGGCGAAAAAATGCTCTGAGACTGCGTCTCCAGCTCTTGCTTTCCGGGCGTGGGAAGCGCATTCCTTCCGGAAGCCAAGGTATACAGAGTTTAGGGTGTAGGTATAGGGCAAATGGGCTTAGAGTACAGGGATCGGGTTTGGAGTTGGAAGTCTTCTGATTTCACTTGGCTTCAAAAGGTGTAGGGGCTTGAAGGTTTCAGGGTTTAGTCGTTGAAACCTTCCTTTACCTAAGCACGAAACCCTAACCTACCCGAAACCCTAAGCCCTACTATCTCAACTTTGCACATCTGCTTTGCGTGGGCAAGTTGGAAAGCTCTCTAGGACAGTCTGGGTGCTGTTCAGGATGTCGGGTTTTGGGTTGCATCTGCAGGTTTAGGGTTTATATAGGGTTTTATGGGGTTTTAGAGATTTTTATAGGGTTTATAGGGTGCTATAGGGTTTTATAGGGTTTTAGAAGGCTGTATAGGGTTTTATAGTTTGGAGGGTTTGTAGGGTTTGTCGGGTTTATCGGCTTCAGGGTTTTGCTGCTTGGGGACGTGGACTGGTGAGAGCGGGCCCATCGGGACACGTCAAGGCACACAAACACTAAACCCTTGTCTGTATATGTGTGTATGTGTATGTATAATGTATATATATATATATGTGTGTATACATATATGTGTGTATATATATATATATCTACATGTGTGTGTATATGTGTATATACTGTTTATGTGTGTGTACTTTTTAGATAGCATTAGAGAGCCCAGTGCCCAGGGTCAATGTGCGCCTGACAGCTGTCGAGACGAAGGCGGACATGTTCCGCACCTCGAGACGCAGCCGTGGCAAGCACGAAGCCCCTCGCCCAAGTCTTGAAGCCCCTCGATTTTTGATTTAGTCGAGAGTAGGTTCTCCCAAAAAACGCCTCGGCTCCTACTATGTTCGGTTTACCCTGAAAATGGGGGGGGGTCTATTTTTTTGGGGGAGGGGGAGTAGCCCTAAATCTCTCAGAGCACATCTGGTCAATTTTCTTGGGTCATGGACCCTTGTCGGACACGAGTACATACAAGACAACCGAAAGAATCGCAATGCGCCAGAAGGGACCATCCTCTTGGTGGGTTCTTAGGAAGCTGTCAGACCCTAAACCCTAAACCCTAAACCCTGAACCAGCCGAGCTGTTTTTTCACAGCTCGGCCATCACCTCGATTCCGCACTTATCGGCCTTCTCCACATCATCCCGGTAGCCCTTTGAATCACGTTGTTTCCTCGAGACCCACACTGCAGCGAAGAAATAGCCTGACTTGGTGCCTAGAAGTAGACGAATAGACTTGTCTCGAAGGTCCGTGTCTGTTTTCGCAGCACTTACAGCACACCCACACGCCACTCAGTCTTCTCCTTCTCAGCGATTCACTCACGAACCGAACGCTGCACACTCCATAAGCCCGAACCTCAATCCCTCGGGCCCCAAATCAAGACCCTTACTCCTAAACCTCAAACAAAGTCCCCCGAAAAAACAGAGGCCTAAACCCTAGACCCCTACACCCTACATAAACCAATAAGCCCTAGACCCTGAACCCTAAACCCTAAACCCTAAAGCCTAAACCCTAAACCCTAAACCCTAAACCCCGGCATGGGCCTCATCTTGATTGCTGGCAACTTTGTTCAAAATGCTCAGGGCAGTGACCTGAGACTGATACTTTCACAATTTTGCATTCCTTTGGGGGGTTTAGGGGCTTGTAGGGGTTTAGGGTTAGGGGCTAAGGGGTTCGGGGTTGAGGGCTTCGGGGGTTTTAGGGTTTAGGGTTGTTCACCTAAACTCTAAAGCCTAAACCCTAAGCCCTATACCCGAAACCGCATCTGAGCCAGCAACAGGGCTGGGAAGGGCGAGCAGGCTGCTCGAAGCCTGCTAGCTTGGGGCCACTTGTGGCTTCCCTCACATGGTTTGGCGTTGAGGGGTAAGTTCTTTAACAACAGGATTTTGTTTTTCCCTCCTTTTGGGGGTGGGGGGGGGGGGGCTCATAGGGTGGTATATATATATATATACATACATACATGTAAACCACTACTTCTTGGGAGATCAGATCGTCATAGACTCAGGGACCTGCCTTCTCGTCCAAGTTTGCACCCAAATAGGTCCCAACGAGGCTTTCGAGGATCGTTGGCATGCTCGCCACAATCTACATACAAGGGATCTTAAGAAGCCACGGCCTGCTGCTACCTGCTGTTTGCTATATTGGTGCTTCCATGCCTCGGACGGCACTTCACTTGGCTCCACCCGGTCTGTGTACCACGTACGCATAGACTCCAACGTGCTTGCGAGCATGGCGCGGCTCTTAAGCTGTGTCAGCGTTGTGTGCTGCCTATGCCTTTTGAGCCCTAAGTCGGATGCGCCTCAGTTTCCATGGATCAAACCTGATTTCAGCTTGAAAATGGCATCGGCATAAATGTCAGATGTCAGGATTTCAGGTGGAAGGCTCAGGGTATCCGCAGGCTTAGGGTTCCAGGGGGTTTAGGGGTTTGGGGGGTTTAGGGGGATTAGGGGGTTTAGGGTTTAGGGATCGCTGCCATGAACCTTTCCTGACAGAACTGGCATGTCGCACACTGCGCTAATCACCTTTTTGGCCCACTTGCGAGGCAGAACCTCATTGCTGGGCAGCGACCTTCAGACGAGCAGAGCGATATCCTTGCCGACGTGCACTGCGCCTAGTCCCGAGAGTAAGCTAGGAACAGCAAGGGTGTCCCTTTTGGGCTTGAAGAGGCTGATATGGGAAACTTTCCCCCAACACAAGGGGAACAAGGGCTGGTGCAATGATGTGCACCACCAAGTCAGACAAGCACGCGGAAAACAAGAATGACCTAATGCATGTTGAAACGAACGAGTCAATACTCGAAACCCTAAACCCTAAACCCTAAACCCTAAACCCTAAACCCTAAACCCTAAACCCTAAACCCTAAACCTAAACCCTAAACCCTAAACCCTAAACCCTAAACCCTAAACCCTAAACCCTAAACCCTAAACCCTAAACCCTAAACTCTAACCCAACACCCTAAACCCTGAACCCCCCAAAACCCCAGAACCCTAATCCCTGAAATCCCTAAACTCAAACCCGAAGACAGCCGCCTCGCGAGACGCTTCCCCGGTGCGACCATGTGGGTGCCACAGGTGGATGATGCTCGTTGCCTTGCGGGTTTAGGGTTTAGGGTTTAGGGTTTAGGGTTTAGGGCTTAGGGTTTAGGGTTTAGGAATCCAAGATTTTCCAACTTTCTGCGGTTGGAGCCTTTCAAGCCGTGGAGACTCAATGACTCAATGACTCAATGATCCATGATTTCGCACAGGTTGAGGGTTTGGGTTTAGGGATTATAGGGATTGCGAGGTTTGGGGTTGATTTACGCCTGTTACGAGCTTTTGCGCAGAGCTAGCGGTCAGAGAACCGGGTTTACGGTTTAGGCAAGATTGACAAAACCCTAAACCCTGAACCCTGAACCCTAAACCCTAAACCCTAAACCCTAAACCCTAAACCCTAGTTGGTTTGGCTGAAGCAGAAGTATTTCCTTACAGTGCCATACAAGAACACCGCACCCCAGACCCAGAGCCTGTCTGGCTCTGAGAAGAACAGGGTGCCCTCCCATTAGAACTCTTAGAAACCTAAACCCTGACCCCTAAACCTAAATCAGCTCAGAACCGCCATTTTTTGATCTTGGGTCGGGCTGCACATCATCTACCTCCATCCGGTGAGATACTTCTATTGCAGTTTATTGGATTCCGGTGAGATACTTCTATTGCAGTTTGTTGGATCGGGTCCTCCAAACCCCGCTCGAGACCAACCGCTGGAGATCGGGGCCCACAAGACTGGAGCACCGCAACATCGACTCCTCAGGAAGCGGTTTGAGGAGACTTGCGACTAAAGAGCCTGCCGCAATCACCTAAGGCGAGGGCAGCGGCTGTGAGAGAAAAGATTGTGCATACGAGAACTCCGTATGTCGGGACGGAAGTCACAACTAAAGTCTCAATCCCGCGAGCCGTCAAGACCATGAGGCCGAACAGACAAGAGCAGGCCACGTTGAGCATCACCTCCTGACACGCTCCAGCACGGCGACGCTTGCACCGGCGCATGACTCGCAACCACAGCGCCACAAGAAGTGGTATGACGCCCAGCCACCATCCGACGCAGTAAAACCAGTTGTAGAAGGCCATCCATGAGTCAGAGTAGCGGAACCGAAAATCAATCCCCAAATGAATTCCAAACCACAGCATGGGAATGGTGGTTGCTGTGAGCCAAGAATAGGGTAGAAGGCAGTTTAGACTGACCCTGCTCCCGAATGATGCAGACACTTGTTTTTGAACGACCACATCGAAATCAGCGACGGAGCCAAACCAATGTTCAAGACACCCCGATATTGTCTGCTTGTCGCACAGCAACTTCTGACCATGTTTGTCCACATGATGCACAGTGCAACAGTGGCACAGGGTATCATTTTCGAAGGAGAAGGTCCTCAGCTGATCTTGAACAGTGGCAGCCGCTCGGAAATGGGCTCGAGCGACAGCGCTGGTGAAGCACATGAAGACGATCACGGAAGCCGTGAAGACAAAGGAAGCTACGAGGTCGCGCCAGGCACCCTCTTCACGAACAAGGTTGTTGGTCAGAATCTCTGGCCCTACCAAAAGTGTAGCCAAGGAGAGAAACGCCACAATAACACATGCTCCCCAGCTGGTTGGCCTGATGACCAAAGGTCCTTCCGGGTGACTTTTCAAGAAGGCGGCCAGCTCTACCGAACACCACATGCGGAGCACGTAGGAGGGATCCCAGCAGACCAGCATGGACTGAGAGCGCTTCAACAATGCTGCCAAGTTCAACATGCCTTCCATCTTCAGCCTGGAGTCTGTCTGGTGGATACAGATCCGATCCTAGGCTGCCCAGTAACCAAGGCTTAAGAAGGGTGCCCTTTTTTGCTTAAAGGGGATTACAAGGGAACCTAAACCCCCCAAAAAGGGAATAAGGGCACTACTGGGCATCCTAGGATCCACGAAGACGCGTTTGCGAGACTGCCAAAGCCCGAGGCAGAGGCCGGACGAAGAAACGCCGGCCAGCGTACTCCAAGCCAAGGAGTTCTCCAGAGGAAGCGGTCCTTGCCCCGGTTGTATACAAACCCGCGCCGTTGCAAAAGCCACGGTGCCAGCCAACAGGGCTGGCAAACCATGGTACATTACAAGGAGGAGCAAAACCTTGGACCAAGCATTGCCATGCCAGGAGTGTGACCAGAATTCCGCAATGTGCTGCCTTGCCTCGCTGTACTGGTAGAGATTTGGCCCGCCGTGCCCTTCGCGCAAGACACGCCCAAACCGCCGGAGCGCATGGCGTGCCTGCGTCGCCCGCACCACTTCCGGGCGGGTGACTCGGAAGCTTACAAGGAACTGCGTGACCTGCGCCAGTCGTAACAGGAGCTCGTCCTCCCCGAGGTCTGGCTCCTCTACCGGCGCAGGCTCCTGCTGCACGCCAGCCACTGAAGCAGGCGGGGAAGCAGAGGCGTCGCTTCCGCTTGGAAAACCGGCCGCCTCATCCGGCACAGAATCTTCCCATGGCGGATACGAATCCATGGGGAGATGGCCCGTGAGGCTGCTTGCGATGCTCCCCACGACAAGTCCTACAGGAGCCTCAGGCCCCTATAAGTCAAGCACCTGCAGCCAAGTTGACTTCAACAAGCGAGCATCCAAGGCTTGGGAATTGTAGATGGAGAATCTATATATATATATATGTGTATATATATATATATGTTTATTTATATTTATATTTATATTCATATTCATATTCATATTCATATCCATATTCATATTCATATTCATATTTATATATATATATATATTTATATTTACATACAGCTTAGGGTTTATTTTCTTGGGCTTTACAACTTCTGGAAAGCCAGTCGCACTCACGCAACTGGGGTGCGGGCTCTGTGGTGATGGCCGGCTTGGCTCGCCCTTGCGCCATTCGCATGGCACTCCCGAGCTCTGCAAGAACCCCTAAACCCTAAACCCTCTTAACCCTACACCTGAACCCTGAACCCTAAACCTCAAACCCCTAATCCCCTAAAAGACTTAGGGCTGTTGCAGAGGTGCAGGGCCTCCAAGATCTGGCTCTTCAGGGTGTTCAGGCTCTTCCCCGAGCATTCCAAGCAATTTTAGGGTTCACGAGAATATGGGACCCCAAATAGTAGGATCCCCCTTGCGCTAGGATTTTCGAGCATGTGAGAGACTGGGCTCGAGGCTCCTGCCAGCGTTTAGCTTTGGTGGGTCGAACTTGAGTGGAAGATTGTCCTCATACCCAGCTCCAAAAACCCGAAACGCAAACCCCCAAGACAGCGCCGAAACCCTAAACTTACCGCTGGGCTGCCAGAGACACAGAGAGAGAGAGACACAAAGAGTGAGAGTGAGAGTGAGAATGAGTGTGAGAGCGAGAGCGAGAGTGAGAGTTGTTAATTTCGCGGTGGGGCCTAGTGATTTTTGCGAGAACCCAGCCATGCTCGTAAGGTCACTGACGAACAACCTGGACAACGTCCAGGTTATTCAGCCAAAAATGCGTGAGCCCATAAAAAGAAAGTCTCTGTCTCGGCCAGGCGCCAAGAGTCAGTCGGGCTTGGTGGTGGCCTTGTGGAACTCTCTCTACAAAAACATCCGTATTTATCGGCGAAGCCTCAGAAACACCAAAATTTCCGATTTTCAGGAAAAATCCTGAAATGCGCCTAAAACACCAAAACAGCCCGGAATACGCCATTTTTTCGGAAACTTTGGGGAGCCAGTCAATTCCCACAAAGCCCAAAAAAACAAGAAACCCAGGAAAATCGCGGAGAATCGCGGGGAATCGCGGGGAATCGCGGGCGGGTCTGCGTAGATGAAAAACTACTCAAAAGCGTTCGCGGGCATTTCGCGGGCCTGTCTGCGTAGATCAAAAACCACTCAGAAGCGTTCGCGGGGCATTTCGCGGAGAATCGCGGAGAATCGCGGGGAATCGCGGGGAATCGCGGGGGTCCCGGAAATCGGATTTTTGCAAATTTCGCAGAAAATTGCTTCTCAAGAGATTTTCGTGAAAATCGGAAAAAATTGGTGTTTCGAGGATTTAGCGTTTGTCTTTGAGAGATCGCACAAAACATACAGAAATTTGGCCAAGTAGCGGCGGTTTAGAATTTAGGGTTTAGGATCCTCATCGGACCTGCGAGAAAGCCCCCGTTGTAACGCGCTGTTTCTCATGTCTGGATCTGCAAGCACTAGAGGGCCCAGCACCACCGTGTCCTTTAAACTCTTCGACTTATGCTGGTGGATGTTGCATTCTGGCAGAGCCAGACAATTCATGTTTCTTCCACCCAAAACCAAAACCCTAACTTGCACCTGAAAATAACTAAGTGAGAGTGAGAGGGAGAGGGAGACTGACACTGAGACTGTAAGGAAAAACTTTTCGTTCTCAACGGATTTCCAATGTTTGGGCCAGCCATCCCAAGGAGGTCCTCGGAGGTCGTCGACAAGAGCTGGGCCGCGCCAGGTGGTCGCTACAGGGGTTCTTGCCTCGCAAAAGGAGGTCAAAGGAGGGTTTGGCGTTTGGGGGTTTGACTTGGGGTTTAGGGTTTAGGGTTTAGGGTTCAGGGTTCAGGGTTCAGGGTTCAGGGTTCAGGGTTTAGGGTTTAGGGTTTAGGGTTTAGGGTTTAGGGTTTAGGGTTTAGGGTTTAGGGTTTAGGGTTTAGGGTTTAGGGTTTAGGGTTTAGGGGGGTAGGGTTTATAGGGTTTAGGGTTTAGGGCTTCTCGCCGCGCCGCGGCAGTAGATGTCATGCGGAGATGGCGCCCCAACACAACCAGGGGGTGTGAGGGGGCGGCATATGTCGCGGCGGCGTATATTGAAGTTGGAGCCACCACAACCAGAAAGGTTGGGTTGTTTTAATTTTTCCCACCCCCTGCTTACGCAGGCATCCACCCAACTTTTCTCCTTTTAGGGTTTCGGGCTAACGCCCTAAATTCCCACTTCCCACCCCCATCCTTTGAACGGTTGGGTAGGACACTTCCACCACGGGTCAGGGTGACCTAGAAAACAGACGGGGGCAGAAGGCCCTTACCTCCGGGACGGGGGGGGAGGGGGGGGAGGGGGGCACCGGGCGTGAACATTGGGAGGAGCGGCAGCACATGCCTGCCGTGGATGGTCAAAGGTTGGGGACAGTGACTTGATAGACCGCCTGCTGGGCATGAGCGGCGGTACCGCAGTGTACCGGGCCTTGGCCAAGCTCACAAACAAGGGCAACGCCAAAGTCATACAGGCTCTGCTGAAGGTCATGCCGGGTTTTTTCAGCATTGAGGGCATCGACTACCATCAGCATCAAGGGACCGTGGACGATGCCTACATGGCACTTCAGGAAATCTTGGAGCCATGTGACAAGCCTGTCCTCGGAGCGCTTATCGGAATGATCTATCCCAACATTTGCTCAGAGGCATTTGAAGCGGTGGACAGGGCCACCCGTGAAAACCATGTGGGAGGGGGGGGGGAGGGGGGGGGAGGGGGGGAGGTGGGGGAGAGGGGAGGGGGGAGGAGGGGAAGGGGGGGCAAAAAACCAGGTGGGTTTTTGGCAATCGCCCAGGCTGACCTGCCTTGCGGCCCCTCTGGTCCCTCAACACGCTCCCCAGGGGCCCGGCACCAGGGGGGCGAGAATCGCAGAAGGGGGGCGGGGTACCCCAGGCGGGGTACTGCACCGGCACTGGAGGTGCAGCTCACGCTCAACACAACTCTTTGGGCTTGCATAGTAACTCCAAGCGATGGTGTTAATCGCTGTCGGGTGTAGTGCTGGGTCCAGGCACCCTGAAAAGGGTGGGTACGGCCTAAGCAGGCCTGGGTGGGGATTTAGGGTTTAGGGTTTAGGGTTTAGGGTTTAGGGTTTAGGGTTTAGGGTTTAGGGTTTAGGGTTTAGGGTTTAGGGTTTAGGGTTTAGGGTTTAGGGTTTAATCCGAGCTCCTGTTTAATTTAACCCCCCATATTTAAAGAAATTTTTTTTGCCCGGATTCCCGCCGGAAGACTACTTTCCATTACGATGGATTTCGTATGGGCCAAACCCTCCACATTTAAAGAATTTTTTTTTGGGGGGGTGTTGTCAAATTTTGAAACTCTGCCTTTCGGAAAGCTTGAAGCCCGTAGTCTTGAAAGAAACCTTGAAGCTTAAAAGGAAAAGCTTTAAGGAAGCCGGTGCTTCGGTTTTCTGGAAGCTGAGGGCCTTCAGAAAGCAAGGATTTCTTATGTGATTGCTTACTGGAGGAGAGAAATTTTCATTCTTTCCTGAGCTACCCCTTACGGGCTCTGGCAGGGAAAGGCAGAGTCACATTAATAGAATGGGGCCAGAATTATGGGAAGCCCCGGCCCGTGGGGAGCCCTGGTCCTGTAGTCTTGAAAGAAACCTTGAAGCAGAGAAACCATACGGGGCCATGGTCCAACTATTGCGGAACCCTGCTTTCCTTATTGTGGGGGGGGGGAGGGGGGGGGGGGGAGGGGGGGGGGGAGGGGGGGGGGAGGGGGGGGGGGGCCCACCAATTAAACAGGAGCTCGGATTAGGGTTTAGGGTTTATAGGGTTTAGGGTTTAGGGTTTAGGGTTTAGGGTTTAGGGTTTAGGGGTTTAGGGTTAAGTTCAGCATCACGAGCTGTACGTCATCGTCCTCCTGGTTGTTCCACACGTGCCGCGCGAACTTCTCCCAAGAATAATAGTCACTCATGGTCTGCAGCACGATATCCGAGTGGATTTTGTAAAAGGCATTGCGGAGCTGCGAGGTTCGGGTGTTGTCGTGGTTGACAATGTCGGACAAGTAGTTGGTGGTCAGCAATAGGGTTTAGGGTTTAGGGTTTAGGGTTTAGGGTTTAGGGTTTAGGGTTTAGGGTTTAGGGTTTTAGGGTTTAGGGCCCGAGAAGCTCCGGGATAGTTTAGGGTTTAGGGTTGGGGGTTTAGGGCTAGGGTTTAGGGTTTAGGGTTGGGTTCTAGGGCTCGACAAGCTCCGGGAGACTTTCTGAACTGTGGGCGTACAACTTGCCGCCCCCAGCTCTTACACCAACATAGCACATGTCTCAGAAAGCTGTTGTTGCTTTTGTTGTTTTCTTTGTTTTTCTCTCTTCCGTTGTTAAATTAAAACTCCTCTAAACAAAACGGCTTTTCAAGAACCCTCGTCTGCTCTCGTGGTTTCAAAAAAGACCCGATTGTTCCAGCAACGTCTTCCGCTGCTTCCTTTCCTCTGGGCCAAAGGCAAAGCCGACTCACGAGGAGCCGCGGGTTCTTGGATCCCTCCGGAAAGCCCATTTTGGGGTAGTTTAGGGTTTAGGGTTTTGGGTTTTGGGTTTAGGGTTTAGGGTTTTAAGTTTTGGGTTTTGGGTTTAGGGTTTAGGGTTTAGGGGTCAGGGTTTAGGGTACGGGGGCAACCGAAAGGGGAAAGGGATCAACCCCAACAGTCGCCAGAGGTTTCACCCTGAACCAACCAGCAAACACCAAAGACTCGAAACTTCTTTTTGCTACCAGGCGCATGGCCCAGTCTTGAGCCAATAATACCGGGCACATTGACCCTTTTTCTTTAACCTCAACACAATTCC